GCTAAAGAAGTATGGATGGAGCTGGAAGATAGATATGGACAACCTAATGAGATTAGATTATCAGGTTAAGAAAGAACTTGCTTCCATTTCTCAGAGTATTATGCCAAGATGAAGATCAGTGCAACTAGCTGATGTCTCTTCTTTAACAACATCATATGTCTGACCAGGACTCTTCCTCAACACCCACTCTTACTGTTTCTGCAAATTTTGCAGGTATTCTTAGTTTCTTTTCAAGTAATAGGCCTGGATGTTCAATTAATACTTGCTTGTTATGTAAGGTTGATAACATCCTGGATTCTGGACTCTGAGGCTACTGACCATATGACCTCTCATAGTAACCTATTACAAAATGTTAAATCTGCACCTATTCCTTACTTGGTAACCTTACCTAATGGTTATAAAGTAAAAGTAACATGTGATGGGGGTTTACCTTTGTCCAATGATACTATTTTGAAATATGTCCTTCTAGTTCCTACTTTTCAGTACAATCTGATCTCTGTGCACAAGTTGGTATCACAACTAAAATATTTACTAATTTTTAGTCCATATTCCTACTTTATCTTACAAGGTCTTTCCATGAAGAGGCCTCTTGAATTTGGTAAAATACAACATGGACTCTATATTTTGCACATGCCTTCTTCAGTACCATCTACTTCACTTACTACTGCCCTCGATTCATCTACTTTTACTTGTTCAAGTACATCTACTTTTCCTGTTTTCAATAGACATAATGTGGAGTGTTCTGTTGCTTTTCATTCTTCTATTCCATTTGTAAATACCAATCATATGAATAAAATGAACACTCTTTGGCATAGCATAGTGGGACATATCCAATTTAGTCATTTGAAATCTATCTCTTCTATTGCCTCTGTGCTTTCTGGCAAACAAGTCATTTGCAATATTTGTCCAATGGCAAGGCAAACCAGGTTACCCTTTCTAAATAGTGAAATTCACACAAATTCCCTTTTTCAACTAATACACATTGACACTTGGGACCCCTATAATGTTCCTACACATGATGGATGCAAATACTTTCTAACAATAGTTGATGATTTTACAAGAACTACTTGGACTCATTTGCTGAAAACTAAATCAACTGCATTTCCAATACTAAAAGCTTTTATTGTTATGGTTCAAACTCAGTTTCTCACCAAACTTTTAACTATAAGGTTTGACAATGCTTTAGAGTTGGGCTCCAGTTCTTCTGCTTCTTCTTTCTTTATAGAACAAGGTATTGTCCATCATACTTCCTGTCATACACTCCTCAACAGAATGGGGTGGTGGAAATGAAGCATAGATATCTTCTTGAAACATCCAGAGCCCTTTTTCTTTCATTCCAAAGTGCCCATGAAATACTAGGGGGAATATGTTCTTACAGCCACTTACTTGATAAACAGATTTCCTTCTAGGCTCTTTCAAAATAAATCTCCATATGAATTGATTTTTGGTGCAACTCCTTCTTATTCTCATCTTAGGGTTTGGTTGTCTTTGCTATGCATCTAAGCCTCCTGTCCACAAAGATAAGTTTACTAGTAGGTCTATCCATGCAGTTTGTATGGGGTACCCTTTCGAGAAAAAGGGTTATAAACTTGTTAGTTTAGAAACTAAATCTTTTTGTGTATCTAGAGATGTAGTGTTTCATGAATCCATCTTTCCTTTTTCTATGCAAGCCTTTTCATTCTCTTCTGTTGATTCCATTCCTCCTAAAGTCCTTTGTGACTTCATTTTCCTTCTTCCTCTTTTCCGGTTCCTAGTTCCTCTTCTTCTATTTCTATCCCAACATTTTATTCTTCTCATCTTCCTACAATTTCTTCTACTTCTTCAGGTTCATCATCTCTTCCATCTAGTTCTACATCTATCCCTTCACTTATTAATGAACTTGATTTCTCACCTATTCCTTCTGGATCTAATTCTAGTTTTTCCCATATTAATGCACTTGTTCTCTCTTCTATTCCTGAATCTGCCCTCCCCACTGTAGTACCTCTAAGAAAATCCACTAGGACACATGTTGCACCTTCATACTCCAATGATTATATTTGCACATCAGTCACTACCTTTTTTTTCCAATGCCCTATGTCCAAGTATTTGGATGCACAATCTTCATCACATACAACATTATCTGAACATCATACCTATTCTCAAGCAGCTTTAGTGCCTAAATGGCAAGAAGCAATGAGAAAGGAGTTTGAGGCCCACGAGGCTAACAATACATGGCATATTGTTCCCTTACTTGATGGGAAGAAGGCCATGGGGTGAAAATAGGTGTACAAAGTGAAATTTAAAGCAGATGGATCGGTAGAAAAGTATAAGGCTAGGTTGATAGTGAGGGGTAACACACAAACTGCTGGGGTAGATTAATGAGAACTTTTTTCACCAGTGAAGTGCCTTATTGCAGTAGCCGTAAAGAACCAATGGCCATTATTCCAACTTGATGTCAATAATGCCTTCCTCCACGGGGACTTGGATAAGGAAGTGTACATGAAATTTTCCCAAGATATTTTTGTTTTTTCTTCTCCTGCTTCTACTCAGCCATATGTCTACAAGCTCCAAAGATCTCTGTATGGGCTTAAACAGGCTTCTCGACAATGGTATGCAAAACTTTCTAGTTCTTTGTGTTCGAAAGGATTTGTTCGTTCGCTCAATGATTACATTTTATTTACAAAAAGGACTAGCAGTTCTATGGTTTTGTTGGCTGTTTATGTAGATGATATCATACTTGCTGGGGATGATGTTTCAGAAATTTCAGCTTTGAAATCTTACCTTGATGACCAATTTAGAATCAAAGATTTAGGACAGCTAAACTACTTTCTAGGCATTGAGGTTATTTCCATTCCTTCTGGTCTTTTACTAAATCAAAGGAAATTTATAGTGGATCTTTTATTTGAACACAATTGCACTGATGTGTCTCCTGTTGTTTTTTCCATTAAGTTGAATTTGAAATTGAAAACTGATGATGGGGCATTACTTTCTAATCTAGAGAAGTATAGAAATCTTGTTGGGAAGTTTAATTTTCTTACTCATACTATACCTGACTTGAACTTTGTTGTACAGTATCTCAGTCAGTTCCTTCAGGCTCCTTGGGTTCCTCATTTAGCTGCAACATTGCTTTCATTGTGTTATCTTAAGGGTACAGTTGATTATGATATTCTTCTCAACAATTCTTCTGATTTTACCTTGCAAGGGTACTGTGATAGTGACTGAGCTGCTTGCCCAGATTCCCGTAAGTCTGTTACAGGGTTCTTTTGTTTTTTTGGTGAAAGTCCTATATCTTGGAATCAAAAAAGCAACCAGTGGTCTCCCTTAGTAGTGTTAAAGCTGAGTATCATGCTCTAAGTAAATTGGTGGCAGAACTGACTTGGTTGACTCGTTTATTAGCTGATCTAGGCATTGAAAGAGTGGTTCCTCTGTTTGTTTTCTGTGATAATCACTCTGCTTTAGACATTGCTCGTAATCCTGTCTCCCACAAACGCATCAAACACATCGAAGTTGATTGTCACTTTGTACGAGGGAAGTTATCTGAAGGCTTTATTGATTTGCATCTTGTTAGCAGCTCAAACCAACTGGTAGACATTTTAACTAAGCCTCTGACTGGGATAGCTCACCATGGTTTTCTCTCCAAGTTGAAGGTGCTTCCCCCTCCAACTTGCGGGTTGAGGGGGGGGGGGGTTGAGGGGGTGTTGGATAACAAGAACTGAGTATAGTATAGTTTTATATTTGTTATGTAGCTGAGGCCCAAAATGTAATTATTGGTAGTGCAGTAGTTAGGCCCAATTTTTGTAAGTATTGTTTCTTCACTTGAGGCATGACACATTGTATATAAACATCCACATCCAGAACCTTTAGATGGACATTTTTTCTCTATACAGAAATATCTCTCGATGTTGTTTCTCTCTCTCATCTACTGCACTCATTTTACATTTCTTTCCGCAAATTCGACCTTCCAATGAGCTTAACAACTCCATCACTCGGAAAGTTCCAGCATAATATATTGGAGAACCTGTGTATGAACTTCCAGCATATTATGCTGGAACTCCAGTATATTATACTGGAAGTTCACATGTAAAAAATTCGAACTCCAATATATTATACTGGAAGTTCACATGTAAAAAATTCGAACTCCAATATAATATACTGGAATATTTTCTGGATTTTGAACAGTGTTTTCGTTCAGATTTATCTTTACATGAAAAGTGGCTAAATTTCCGTTATTTTGAAATTGTGGCTATTTTTCAATTACCAGTTGTAAATCTAGCTATTTTTGAATTTCACCCAAGGTCTAGTTGTTTTGGGTGGTAGAATTTTGTTAAGAAAATTGAATATAATTCAATGAGAACACTAAGGTGCAGCACGTGCGTGCACACACTCACATTGCAGCTGTTCTTACTCAACTTTAACAAATCGAGTCAAAACATCCTTCTATGTTGAGAGCTATATGCATTTGAATATATCTTAGGGATATTAAGATTATAGTTGGGATCAAGATTTCCTTTAGGTTCTGTAAGCCATCGATCACTATTAGCGGTTGTATACATCTCACTTTCTGATATAACTACAAGGTTGCTAACAGGGCAGCAGCAATCTTATTTAGCGGGCTTTTGTTGTGGCTTCTTATTAATCTTTTATTCCACTTATTTCTATGTTATTGGGGATATTTTTTGTTTCTTTCCTGATGGGAAGAGCGTGTTTTGGTGCAATAATCCATTTGAGGAGCAGAAGTTATGAATATGCATAGCAAGATCGTTTGTTTGTATTGTCAAATCATGATATTATCAAGTCAAGTGGTTATGTCTGCAATATGCTTCCTCTGCACTTCAATGAATGGTGAAGTAAATGTTTCATAACGGAATAAATGATAATTGTGCAATATGCATCCTTTGCATTTCATGAACAGCAAGGTAAATGCCAATGTGAGAAGATTCAGCAGTATTCTATACTGTATTTAGTTCTTGATTGTGAAAGTGGAAATCACAGAAATTATGCATTTTTTAGCAACAGAGACTGAATAATCTTTTGATAACAAAGAGAAGCACAACTTTCTTAGTACAAATTTTCAGACAAGAACAAATGTTGCAGATATATAAATCCTATGAATACCATGTCAGTATAACAAAGACAATACGATCATAACGCTCGAGGAGGCTTTTCTAATAATGCAGAAAGATAAACTTCATCATTGGACTTGGGAGAAATAGCCCACTTATGCTTTTTGTACCTGAATTGCAGAAACATGTACATATAGTCATCCAGATCCTTTCTATTACAAAAGAATCGATCGATCCATAACAAGCCTCCTGGTCTTAAAACCCGATCCCAGTCAAATAGGATAAAATCCAACAGCTGCAGATCAATCCAACCATCCATAAGTCCAGATGTGTGGATCAAATCCATAGTGTTATCAAAGAATGGAAGCCTTTGGTTCAATGTCACATATAGTGGAATTAAACCCCTAAGTGCTATCGTCTCGCTGAAAGGAGCTCCAAGATTCAGTGCAGTCGAGATAATTGTCACATTCTGCTCTCTCATTCTTGCAGCAAAAGTCCCCGTACCAATACCAAAATCAAGACCAATTCTGATCTCCCCCGGCTTAATTCCCAAAACATCTTTGATCATAAAATCCACAGGAAGTGAAGCATTTGCTACCCATTTTAGCTCTTCTTTATCCATTTCAAAACATCCACTGCACTTAGTATAGCCTCGTTTAGGATTCTTACTCGATAAGCACTCGTAGTTCCTGCAAATATAATTGTTCCACCTAACATTTCTCCCATCCGGGATCCTCCATAAAGATTCATTAATCGGATAAGGCTTTTGATATTGCTTAGATGCCCTCGTCAAACACCTTCTCCTTGGCAATGGATCACAACCATTAATCATAAGCTTCTGCGCGATGTTCCAATCATCTTTACAATATGAACCAATATCATAATCCATATATTCCTCCAATTCTTTCTTCATCGATACACAAGCATGCCCTATCGTGTTATAAATCCCTTCTGTTCCATAAATGTTAACCTTCTTATGTCTATTTTCCTTCAGGGTAATATACTTTCGGATCTCCTCAATCACAAAGGTATTAATCAAAGGGTCTTCTTTAATTGTCATATTCTCAACTTTAGGCAATCTAATTTGCCTAAGGGCAATATGAGCTGAATATAAAGGCTTAATCACCTCTTCTTCCAAGAATCTCTTGTATTCCAATTTGGAAATACCACTTCTATGCAACTGATCTTTGTTCTTTTCCATTTCTTGGACAATTTTTTCAATCTTATCTTGCAAAGTTTCCATCTTATTGAGCACTTCATCAACCCGAGAAGTTAGAGCTATTATGTCAAAATGATCATAGACATCGCTCGCGCCATAGAAATGGCGACATATATCCTCATCATGCATGAAAAATCCAGCAGAATAAAACCTTAACAAACTCGAAAAGCTCACGATTATAACAAGTGAACCTAGTATAAGCTGAATGCAACCCATTATTCTTCCTAATCTACATTTTCTAAAGCAAAAGATGGACTCACCCATTGTCAATACTAAAATCACAACAACTCTGTTCTAAACTTTCCAAATCAGATGAAACCAAAAGCAGAACAAAGATTGAATATCAGATTGAGTGCATTTTCTATAAGCATTGTGGGAGGATATACATTAGTGACACGTCAAGCAATGCAAACAGAAATGGAATTCCTATAATCAACTGAAGAAGCAGATCAAGTAACCTGGATTCAGCACCAAGGATGTAAAATTGAAACTGAAAAAGAAAAACAGTGATAAAAGCTCAAAAGGATAGCACTAAGTTGATCTAAAACTTCCAATGAAATGGCGTACATTAGCTTAAAAGTAAGCTTTAAACTTTTCTTGAAACCAATACCGAGTGAACTAAAGAGCTGGAAAATCGTGAACACTAAGCATAGACCACAGATGGGCATGTTCATGAGCTTGAATAAAGCGCAAATCTCGTGAAGGAAAGAGCAAAAAAGCACTAAAATCTAAGCAGCCAAATGGCCAAATGGGTGTTAAATTAATATATAATTTCAGATAATCGACTGAGATAGAGTAATTACTACACATTTATCAAGGATATACAAAATGTATTAGTCATGTGAGATAAATATAATATATGTTAGCGTTGACTTTAAGGAGCATGGTGGGTTAGGTTTCGGATAATATTGAAAGATGAGAAAGCTGCTTGTGGTGGCAAAGTCTAAAGAAAGGTCTTGACCGTTAAAGTTCCATTTGGTTTAAATTCAGGTATTGGTCGTTGAAGTTTTTTCCTAGCTATGACAAAGAGATATTGTATGGAAGTGAAATACTGGGTGGGTAAAAATTGATTCCATATTTTCGACACATTTTAAATTAGCGCATACAATATACTGCTGAAGATTGTAAAGGTTGATTCAAGATTTTAATGCATACAAAATATTACAGATTATTGTATAAGCTAATTTAAGATTTTAGGTTAGTGCATACAACATACTGCTGGATGTACAATTTGTTGTTACAATAGATATGAATTTCCTATAAACATATTATTTAGAAATTTTGACCTACGCATTTACATGCTTAGGTGACACTTCACTAACAATTACTAATAATTTTTCAGAAGAATTAACCTAAATAATCACTGAACCAACTACTTAAACTAAAAATGGACAATGAATTTATAACATATGTAAAATTTATGTAATATATATATATATATATCCGGACAGCTATTCTCTAATTTCTACAGAACCCTCTCTTAGTGGCCAATGCCGTTATGGAGAAAGAAAGAAAAAGGCATTAACTTAAATAGCCGTTCATCTAACTATTTAAATTAAAAATAGTCTATGGATATTTAATATATGTATAATCATGTATAATTATAATATAATCTATATATACCTACTAGGAAAAGTAAACATTGAATTCGATCAACTACTTGTATAAAGATCCGAGAAACAAATCCTGTCAGTGTCTCGTGGATATGGCCACATCCATTGGGTGGGCCGGAGATGTCCACTATTCCTCGAAGCCCACTTATGCCATCAGCGCTATTGGATCCGTAGTTTTGCAACTACCCAAGATGCTCTTTGCTCTTATCCAAAGCCCACATATAATGAAATTTATCATTTGCAAGTGGGAAAATTGTTGAAAATAACTAATATGCAACTTATCGTAACATTCGTTATATAGTACTATGTTAGACCCAGGCCACAATTTATATTTCAATGAAGTGTTTATAGTAGTTGATAATGGAACCTACCACTGCTTTATGATCTCTTAGAAACTTCTTTAATATTTCTCCGACCTAATAAACAGCTAAAGGAAAGAAAAGACACACCTTCCATCCGTAACATGAGATTTAAAGTAAATAAAGGAAAACTTGGGAATCAAATTCTTTGATTTCACCATCCAAGTGTATAAGGATTTCATCCGTTTTCTATAATATAAATTACTGATAGTGATTCAGGTGTAAATGCTAATCGAAGTAACCTAATTCATGTAATCTATATGAGGAATATCCAAGAAATTATTACTACTGAAAATCTAACTGAATATAATCCTTTAAACCGATTGAATTTCAATCGTAGTTCGGCTACTGGCCCAAGATGATCTTTGCTCTTATTCAAAGCCCACAAGCCACAAATAATCTAATTCCCAAGTTTAAGGTATCCAACATATGATGAAATTTATTTTGCCATTTGCAAGTGGGGAAATTGTTGAAGATAAGGAAAAAAATATCCGAGGAAATCAATGTACATTATATGCAAGCTTAATGTTGTTTTCGTCATAGAGTACTATGTTACCCACATGCCACATTTATATTTCAATGAAGTATTTATAATAATTTCATAATGGAACCTGCCATTGTAATTATGTTCAAGGCAAGCCTGTCAATAAAGGTCATTAATAAACTTCCCATCCATAGCAAAAGAAAACCTAATTGTCAAATTTTCAGACGTCAAGACCCATCCCAAAAATTCTGCGGAATAAAAAAAGCTATAATATTTGGACTCTTTCATTTCCTTCCTCCAGGGATCCTCTTCGCCTAGTGGTCAATGAAGTGAGTGAGAATCATGAAGTTTCAATTTTAAATTCCACCATATGCAAAAATCACTAGGTGATTTCTTTCCATCTGTCGAAGCTTTGGAGAATATAATTATTGCTGGTGAGATATGACAAATATCCCATCGAATTAGTCGAAGTACACACAAACTGATTCAAACAACACGGTCAGTAAAAAAATAATGTATTCCATATGAGCATCTAGTTTCATCATTAATGTTGTATTGCTTGATTCTTGGGGAAAGAATTTCCTACCAGATGCAGATAAAATCAAATTCTTTGATTTGACCACCTGCGTATAAAGATTTCATCGTTATCTATGGTATAAAATTACTCATAGTGATTGTTTTCTGTTAATTTTGTGATTCTGGGGTATCCTAAGTCCTAATCTACGTAATTCTAATACATGTGATCTATATGAGGCCATTAATTAGTCTTCTACATATTATATTGGGAAAAAAATTAAGTCTGAATATTGAAGATGAGTGTCATGACACGTGGACTGGTCAGAAGGTCAAAACGTAATAAATAGCCAAGAGGCACGAGCGACAACAGATAGGGGGAAAAGAAAGCAACATAGGTGTGGACCGTTACTAAAATAGGTACGAGTCTCGTACCTATTCGAGTCGTTTAAAGATCAAAGATCAGAAGAAGTTGAAGATACGAATCTGATGACGTAAAAGAGTCTAAATACAGCATTAAATGTCAAATACGTTAGAGAATCTGAATTAAATAGAAATGATTGTGTAACGTTTCTTTTAAATATCATTTATTACTCATAATTGCCTCATTAAGACAAAGGCATTATATTTTCTCTTAGAATCAACTATAAAAGGGGAAAGACTCAACATCTGTAGGGACACAAAATACTATTGAGATCTTACTGAAATACAAAACTATTTACTGCTTTACCATCATTCTCAAAAATATTTTATTTTCTTCTCCTGATTATCAGTAACCCGAATTTCTTTCTAGCTTTGACCAAAAACTCAGATTTTTGGTTAAACAAATTGGTTCCATTACCGGGAATCTGATAATCTTTTCTTTTAAGCTACATCTTGTCCATTGTATCACCATGTCAAACGACAGCACCAACAATAACAATGAAAACACTTTGGGAAACCCTAAAAATCAAATCCATCAAAATCAAGGAGATTTACATAACATTGAAGTGGTTCCCTCCCCTCAAAATTCACCACGTCAATCTCGTGAAGGCACTCCTGAATCTCGTGTTGTTCAACAAGAACAATCTGAATACTTTGAAGGTGGTACAAATGAAGCCTTACAAAAGCTAATTGATGCATAGGTCGGCAAAGCTCTTCAGGCTCTAGTTAGTCGATTGCCTGCTGCACCACCCACACCAACTCCTAATAATAATACATTGGAGAATCCCCGTTCTGGTCTTGTTAATTCTGGAAATGGAGGAACCACCAGTGAACCACAATAAGGGGAACCAGGTAATTCAAATAATTCCTATTTGCAAAATTTAGTACTAACCTTGCAGAAACAGATTAAAGAACAAAATGAACGTATTGAGCAAATCCATGGAGTTCCGCCTGTAATAAAAGGAGTTGACATGGACAGATACTCACAACAACCTTGGAAGCCAAGTGCTGCTCCCCTTCCAATTCCGAAAAAGTTCAAAATGTCTGACATCCCGAAATATGATGGTACTACAGACCCACGTGACCACGTGACTGCATTTACAATAGGCGTAAAAGGTAACGACTTGACCAAACAAGAAATTGAATCAGTACTAGTCAAGAAATTTGGAGAAACACTCACCAAGGGTGCATTAACTTGATATTCTCTTTTATCTGAAAATTCTATAAATTCTTTTGCTGAGCTTGCAGATTCTTTTATTAAAGCACATTCGGGAGCACAAAAGGTTGAGAAAAGAATAAAAGATATTTTCAAAATCAAACAAGGAGATTCAGAGTTACTCAGAGACTTTGTTGATAGATTCCAGCGTGAAAGAATGACTCTACCCCATGTGCCTGACAACTGGGCTGTAATAGCTTTTGCAAGTAATTTAAATGACAAAAGTTCTGAAGCCACGAGAAGACTCAAAGAAAGCCTTCGAGAATTCCCTGCAACCAAGTGGAATGATGTTTACAACAGGTATAGTACGAAACTACGAATTGAAGAAGATACCGTACCTAAGTTTCATCATGAAGAAAGGGGTGGTTCCAGAAGATCATAAACCGAAAAAAGATCAGGTAAAAACAGGTACGATCCATATATGGGTCCTGTAGGAAAAGACCCACGGTCAAAACAAGATAGCCAGCAATATTAGCAAAAATCGAGGAATAGGGACTCTGGTTCTTCATCGAAATTTAGAAATGATCGGAACAGACAAGAGTCACGAGATGATGACAGAAGTTTAAAGGCATGGTTCAACGGATATAACTTTAATGTAACTACCTCCGAGCTCGTGGTTGTTTTGAGAAGTATGGTAGAGAAGGTGCGGTGGCCTAAAGAGATGCGGTCAAATCCAAATAGACGCAATCCAAATCATTGGTGCGAATTACACAATGATCACGGGCACAAAACTTCAGAATGTAGATTCTTGCAGAGTGAAGTGGACCATCTATTGAAGCAAGGGTACCTCACTGAGTTATTTAGTGAAAAAGGTAAACAAGTCTATATGAAAAATAGGCAAGAGCCACCAAAGCCTCATTCACCCAAGAGAACAGTGAATGTGATAAGTGGGGGAGAAGATATTCACGGCATAACCTACAAAGCCTCCAACAAGGTTTCTAAAGTAACAATTACACACGGGAAACGGGTACGACAGGTTTTAAAAAATTAAAGTATTTCATTCGATGATG